GACAGATACCAATAACCGGCCGGATTAATTCCATTTGACTCCCATCGTCCCTCATAGCCTGAAAAGAAAATTTCAGTGTTGACGGTGATCGTGCTGGCGCGACAGATTGTTTTCCCCCTCAAATAAAAAAAAAGATCACCGGGGAATAAAAATTATGTTATGGCTGTCAGGTGAGCATGTTTTGGGGATTAGTTTTATTTTTGGCTTTTCGTTTCAGGGTCAGATCATATTTCATCCATTTAGTTACTTTTTTGGAGGTGGAGACTGGACAAAGCCTGGATTGCAGTCTTTATTTAGCAGCAACATTTTAAACCACTGACAAGATTAAAAACTGGATCATTTTTGGATTCTCATTCTGTTCTGAACAGTTCAACAAATGGAACAAAATTTGTCTTAAGTAACTGCAATTAGCATGATTTTTGTGGCACAGCTGAGAGTGTTTTATTACGAAAGACACCATATCAAAAGAACAACTTGAAAAACCAATTAAAAAATTTTTTTTGGTGGGGGTTGCAAATCCAAATGTGTCATTAGCCCACTTGGAAATCCCATTATTTGCTGTAATTTCAACTGAACTGTGAACTTCAAATGGGGCCTCTTCACAGGAAGAATCTAGCCCAATAACTGTGCCAATATTTGGTCAGTGTCGGCAAGCCTTTTCACTACAGACATTTTATCTTGTCCTAATTTGGGGCAAAGCTGACGGGGAGCAGATAAGAAAAGAAAAAGACATCCGATTAAAGGTGGTAAACAAGTGGAGCTGTAATCTGTCGTGATAAATTAAGAATTGACTGCTCCCAGCCTGACACAGGGAAAATATTTGCACTACATTGTGCAAGATGCAAATAAAATACTTCTTATTTGAGGGCACTGGTGATTTGATAAGGAAGAAAAAAGCGGGTCATTGCTGATAGGCAAGGGTGGTTGCTGAGCAGGAGGCTTTGAAAGGGACCAATAGGTAACTGCATAGTCTGTTGGGAGCCTTCTTGTTTACTTATTCAACTTAGCCTAGTTAATTCAGATCATAGATGGCAACATTTGGCATGGGTCACACTTACATGAAGGGCACCACGTTGTGATTTATGGATAATTTATTCATGTAACCTATTTGGCTTCAACTTGAGGTGTGGTAAATAACGCCTCATGGTAGAGGAGTCTGCGATATGCATGAACATGGCATTCACAAAGCATTAAAGATTTTGGGGTTCAAGTCCCTACATATGCCATTCTGTACCTGAGCAAGGCACTTCAATGTATTTCACACATTTTCCCACCTGGCAGATGATCACAGATCAGGTGGGCGAGGGGAGAGACTGAATCCCAACACATAATAATGTTACGTTGCTTAGCAACACAACCATTTTTTTTTTTCACATTTCAACTTCCCATCTGGCAGTATATCAAAGATCGGAGGTTCAAAGCAAGGCACTTTATCCAGGGATGAGATTGACCAATGATAGAAATAGCTGAAAACAGCTGAAAAAAAGACAAAAAGAAGCTGAACTGTGGAAATCTCCTACACTTTTGCACACAGCCAGTGAGGAAAAAAAGATGAAATCCAAAACCAAAAAAGCTGAAATCAGCTGAAAAGCTAAGAAATCTCACCCTGTTTATCATAGCCCTGCTAGGACTGGTCTTTTTTGGGCCAAACTTACCAAGACCGATGGTTACTCTTTCCATTTAAAGTCCAGTTTGGATATTCCAGGAAGCTTTAATCTTGGTTATTTTTACTGAGCCGTGCAGTTATTTTTTACACTTTCCCTGGGATGGAAAGTCCAATGGTGTGGACAGTGCGAGTCGGGAAAAGCATGGAAAAAAGCAACTCAGCAGAGTGTAACGGTTCATCCCCTCCAAGCAAAGCAGCATGGGAAACTGCCCATGTGCATTTCACGTTTCACTGCGGTGCGGCACGTGGCCAGTATTTCCAGGGCACTGTTCCTCTTTTGGGCTCAGTCACGGCAGAGTTAATATTGATACAGCTGGAAGTTTAACTGGTGTGACACAAGTGCACCATTTCCAGATGGCAACATTGTGTTGATGGACGAAAACAAATGCAGAACGGTCATGCAAAGCGCTCTCATAAGTCACTGTACTGATTGTTGGTTACTTCTCCCTGCGGTCTTGGTAAAATTGTCCCATGTCGAAAGTCCAAGTGCAGACAGTGGTCCCTTTTAAACACTTTTCATTTTATCTTCGGCTCGGTAAAACCCTTGAAAAAAAAAAATCCAGTAGGGGCACAGCTTATGCTCCCCACTTGCTTCTCCCCTACTCAAGAACATCATTACAAATATTTGTCAAGGCATTATCTGGTTATTGTGCATTCAATTGGTAATAACAACGTGTAAAATGGTGCAGTGGCTGTGTATGAGCTGGTAATGTCTATGACCAAGCTGGTCAGGGGTAATACATGTACATGCACATGAACGTCTGCTCTGTAGAGAAAGTACTGGGCCCATGCGGTAGGGTAAATTGCTTTTAATTGTGGGCAGGTGAGCTCTTGAAGAGAGCCAGGGAACCCACTACTTTGGGCTGTAAGCTCTGCCCTAGGTCAAGAGACAGGAAAATCTGTTTCCTTCAAATCAACCAGTCAACAAAGGACTATTTCACTTTTCTCCTATCAGTTTTTTTTCCTAGGGAGGGGCATTAAACCTTCAGATATTAAAAATCGGAGGGATATCCTACCCCTATTCAATGACAAACTGGATGAGCATGATTATGGTAGTCCGTTAACAAACGTCCACTCCACCAACCCACCCCCCTATAAAAAATGAATCTACTACTACATCACCAGGACGAATGCTCGAAAATATTACAGATGATCTGGCAAAGTTCTCTTTGTACGAGAACTGACCGCTGGATGAGGGGTAGGGCTACCAAAGGGGAATTGAATCCACATCAAAACAACACCATTATGCTGTAATCGCCAAACAAATGTTTACCCCTCTAACTCATAACCCAGTTCAACATCTCATTACAGCCAATCAAGGTTCACAGATCAGATATCAAAAAAATTTGTAAGAGGGTAGATTAAAAAAAAAGGGGGGGGCAAAATTACAACACCTGAGCTCTCTAGATGTGTTTGTTTACTGGCAGTGTGTGGAAAAAAAAAAACCTGCATTGTGACCTCTACCAAATCAGTTTAACCATTAACAAACAACCCCCCCTCAGACAAACACACACCTGGGGAGTGGACACCACTTCAGCCTGTTTGCGCAGGTTTTTATCTATGCCCCTACTTGGCACTTGGCTATTATCGCTGTGTTAATATTGACAGCTTTCCAGTACCATTCCCTCCCCCTTCAACTCAATCTATATCTCTCTTTCTCACAGTGAGTTTAGTTATTACTTTGTGGTGATAAGATAAATGACACAGATAGCTGTGTTGAGTCATTGTAACTGTTCCCCCCTGTGTGTATATTGGAGGTGCCTGTGTGTACTTGGGCTGTTTGTGTGTGTGCTCAGCGTCTGAAGATTGGTGGGGAATCAAAATGGTGCATCAGTAATGTGCGATTTAGGGCCATGGTAGAGCAAACAATATTGGCTGCTGGCTACAACAATCAAAGTGAATAAGTTCAAGCATAGTCAGAGATCTGGTCCTCTGCAGGACATTCTGTAATAACTCATCTGAAAATCTATCCCTATGCTTCACGTGACAACGACTCTACAAAATCCACAATTTGTCAGCAAAGACGTGGGTTCAAGCCTGGTGGTGTTTACAAAGTTTGGGTGGGTGTGGGTTAATAATTTATTGATATATGTACATTGTGTAAATATGTAAATTAGTTAATCTTAATATTACCATGCAAATTAATATACAAATAATTAGGATGTAAAATGGGAGTTAAATGCTACAAAGGTGAGGTTTGGTTGGAAAAGGTTTGGAGCCGGAGCAGCTACATCTCATTTGTGGAGCAATAACACCCAGCACCCATTTTATACTTTTTCAGATGGAATTCTATAAAAATATCAAATGCAACAGATTCGATTGCTGAGGGATATTGGAATATCACAACAAAGAGGACTCACTACCAATCATCTTTGGGTTGAAACAAGTCGTATTTCCCTGAAAGGTCTAAGGGGATTATGCCCTAAATAGGACTGCTCACACCTCAAACTGAGTGGCTGCAGAAAAAGTTAACAAATAAAATAAAACATTATGAGCTTCACACCTGCTCAATCTCCAAGCTCTAGTCCGAGGAGAGAACAGGGAGACACAGTTTCCAAATTGCAGGCGAGTGTAGCTTGCAACGTGATGAATGAACCCAGGACTTGTCACAACACGAGACATCAAGCACATCCCATTGTTCAGGAGACAACATATCCAATTGTTCAGCTTGTGACATGGGGTTGAATCTCTTTGTGTTTCTCGGCCAATCTGATAGGTTGGCCGGCCAAGCATAAAACAACAAAATGTCTCCACTTGGTTCTAGGCAACATAGAAGTGTAAAATCAGCCTACAAATTTGCCGAGTCTAGGGAAACTTCAGTTCCAATAAAGACGGTCAAAGCTACCGGTAATTGAGTGCAGACCGTACAAAACTCTGAAACTCTGGAGACTCTGAAACCACAGATTCTGCAGAAATGCTGGAGCTTGACACAGAGTGAGGCAGCCTGTTACGTTGCCTGTTGGTACACACCATTCATTTCAATCAGAGCTGAACAAATCAGCACTGTGGTTGAGTCCGCTAACAGATCGTTACAAGTCACACAGTCCCAAGCCAAGTCATGAGCTATTCATATAAACTGTGACAAAAGCATTCTTTTGTCGTTGTTCATCTTGTTTCCTGTGGCTGATCTTGTGACCGACTTGTATAAGGGCTTGTGAAAGGACCTGTGTTGGGCTCAACTCCAACCCTGACGCTTTCCACTTTACATTTTCACTTTAACTTGAATGCATTCTTTAATTAAGCTTCTTCCCTTGATTACTTCTGTAGCAGGGAAGAAATGGGGTCCAACACCGAAACAAAAAGTCACGGGAAAATAAACTGATCCATAACTTACAGGCTTTGTCTCCATCTCCTCTGACTCTGTGCTTGCATCCTGCAAGTCAACAACATCCTCACTTGATGGTACATGGAAAGCCTTGTGCTTGTCGTCGTGCACAAAACTCAAGTCTTTGACGGTGGTGAGGAAATGTCCGAACTGGCGGAGGCAAAGGACACGAAGAAGTGTCTGGAGGAAAATTTAGGAAGCAAAAAATAAATGAATAAAACATAAAAGAAATTGGCAAATTTGAACACAGATTTATCACTCAGAGAATAACTCTAATTTGGGTTTTTTTTAATGCAAATCAATCAGTTTTTATCTAGGTCATGAAGAAAAAGATAAAATAAAGATGCCTGGATGATAACGTTTCCTTCCTGCAAACCTTATAACCAACTCCCCCCCCCCAAAAAGATGAACAAAAATTCCTGGCGGGGATTGATGTGGTCACCCGCAAATCTGTGCATCCGCGCATCTGGAAAATTAAATATTGTGCTGTCAGTATTACTTACAAAACAAAAACTCTGGTTACAGTTGCAGGACGGAATGGGACCATTTCATAAAGTTGTTGAGCAGGTTTCAGTGTTCAGGAAATTTATTTCCAAAGCAACAGGTAGCTGGGAACAATTCATGACCAATAACGTACTTAACACGACAACTTGACAAGTAACCTGCTTAAGCAGGGTACCAACACTCTTTGATGCTAATAATAAAGCATAAACCAACTGACTGGTCTTTGGGAGCAATCAAATGATGCTGCCCTGTGGTGAGAAAGAATAACTCTTGTTTTTGACAGAGGTTCTATCAACCTATAGTGTACTGAGGAAACGAGTGTGCCATATTTTGTCAGATTTTGCTGAGGTGCCATCTCGCCCTCAGTTACCATAACATTTATTGCTTAAAATGATATGACAATCCTTTCTGTTAGCCCCAAACTTCGAAATAAAGAAAAAACAAGAGAAGACCAATAGAAAATTGAGTACAAATCTGACAACTTGCATGCCTGAAGCAGTTTTTACAATGTTGCACTTTGTATCATAACATATAGGCCTACACCAGCAAAAATTTCTGACGAATACATTACTAGGGATCAACCCTTGTCCAGTTAAAGGCTTTTGTGACAAAGTGTCACATTTTTCAGCAGTGGGACAAGTTCCCGTCGAAGGGCCAGCTAAATTTAGATAGGAGATGCCACAGCAAATGATGCCATTTCAGCAAGTTATGTAAAGTTGAGGCAGATCTTAATTGCTGCATTTTCTTCTTTTTTTTTCATCCATAAACCATTCTCTTTGCCTCACTTTTATTTTTCTAAGTGGAATATCGGGGTCTGTGCCTGAGGTCAAGGTTGGAGAAATACATGTCTGCTACTAACAGGTATCTGCAAAGCCTTGATAACACAATTTGATTAGACTATTTAACATGCGTCTGTCTGTAGGCAGGCAGGATCCAAGAATAGATGAGGGATGGGGGGGGGAATGAGAAAGAGAACGGCGTTCATCAACTGCACGGGGGAATAAACAGGAAATATAGAGCCAAATGTGATTGCCGTTGATAGAGGAGCCAATCACGGGGATGCCTCAGAGGCAGGATCACAGCCTTTTACTGGGTCTGGTACGTTAAATGTCACCCGAAAAACGAGGCAAGCAATTGCTACAAAACCAGTCAACTACAATGAAGTTTCTCCTCTGCCAGTGATGGTATTATACTCAACAGGTTGTGCTTGACATTTTTCTTTATCACAAAATGCAAGTTACCATTTATGAGCTGCAAGCCAACAAAAGAATCTTGCACGGTGAAATCCGTCAGGAGCCCTCAAACCATTTCACCTCATATTAACATCCATTTCCATTACGATGCCAAACTGTGCGATACATGATAAAGAGTTTAGGTTGCTTTTTGTGGTGAAAACTGAACCACAAATTACCTTCACAAAAACGGCTTGAAGGACAGTTCACGCTTCAGTAAAAAGAAGCAAACTTAAAGTTTGCAGTGAAATTTGCATGAGTTGAAATATGCTATATTTTGCAAATTTGCAGCGCACATCTCAGTGACAACATAAAATTGCATTCATATTTGCTTTTTTGACAAGTATGAACCGATCTTTAGACTCACTTTGTTTAAAATCTCAGACTGTAGGGGTCCAATGAGCATATACTAAACTAAACAACGAGTAAGGCTCTTAATTTAACATCTGAAGTGCCCTTTGACAACTTAACATTTGATAGAGCACTGCATGCTTGGTGCTTCCCGAGAACTTGTGAGAAAAACAATATCACGAGCTTGCCTGGGTGGAATTAAACCCATGACCTGCTTACAAGTGCTGATGTCACTGAACTTGTCAGGGTCAGCTGGCTGGTTTGACACATTCAAAGACAGTTGAAGGAAGTAAAGGAAGATGTCTGAAGATGTCTTTGTCTCTGAGATCTATAGAAACTGATTGTAGGTCTACAATGCTTGAATGAAATTGAATGCTCTCCATTGTTGGACTGACTGGATACAGGCTGACTGATGTTTCTCTACTAATAAAACATAACTGAGAAACTAGGACATGCGCTGTCCTCCATTGTCACAACATGCATGGATGTCTGTATGAGGACATGTAATTTATGCAATGTTATCATTATTGTTTGTGTCATGGCTGTGTCGCCAAAGTGTACATGATTAGTGACATTATAAAAAAGATATTAGATATACAGTTTTCAGAAAAACAGCAATTACAAAGGACAACTTTTTAACCAAAATTAAACAAAACAGCACACTATGCTGAGACAAGCCTAGCCAAACACAGAATACACGTGATAAATTCTCATTGGAATGAGCATGACTAGTACCACATGACATCTGCATAGTCATGGCTTTCTGTCATATCTCTCTTTCTGTCAAGGGGGTTATTCATGTACAAAACCAAGAAAACCTTGGAATTTGACATTTGAAAGGCATTTCCCAACGTTTTTTTTCTTAGGCTCGCCACAGGATGATACTGAAGCACCTTATGGGAAACCGTTCCCATGAAACAAGTCAGAATGGAATGCCAGACACCACGCATGAAGGTCCGTGACATTGCACTTTAAAAAAATTAGGTAACGGGATCCTTGAAATGTGCCACTTGCAATGTACTTAATTGAAATCCCCTCAAGTGAACGGGATGTCTACAAACCTGTCTGTTTCCTGGACATTAAACTATTTGGGCTTATGCACAATAACAAAGTTAACAAAGCTGCAAATAATTGGGACAGTCTGTTTTCTTAAGTGGAACACCTGTAAACACCTTTTCACATTAGGAAAAAAATTCCCAGCTTTGATTACATGTGCAGGTCCAACTGAAAATGACAGCCAATTTTGTCCTCAAAGTGGAAACATGTGGCAAGGAGATTTGCTGTGACCCAATACTGTCCTCCCTTCCAAGACGAGGGCTAATTCAATCAGTGCCATGAAACAATCATAGACTCTGGTTCTTACAGGTGACTTTTTGACAGAGCTAAGGTCAATGATGACACATGCACGTGTCATCTTCAATGGGGTGCTGAATTGTGGCATGTTTCTTTCTGGAAGAGATGGGGGTCTGCCCATGACATCTGGCTGGATCGAGGAGCGTCCCCAGCACCGGAGTGTGTCGACAGGAAAACAACAAAATGCGTGGGTTCGCAAACCTGAGTTTGTTTCTTTTTTTTCCTTTTTTTACAAAACTTACATGTAACATTGCTGGAGAGAGGAAAATTTTCACAATAGAGTACTAAAGTGTGATATTATATAGAACCAGGAAGTGCCGCACAAGTGAATGGAATATGCACATATGTTGGTTCAATCACCGGTTCCTTTTACACTCATAATTGTGAATGTGGCATTCACTTTGGTATTCAATAGGTACCAATCTGTGTTATGAGGTAACACACTGAATGCATGGGCTTGCCTAGTCCAAAGCATGCACATGTTATTTCAACCAGTCAAGTTTTTACGATGTGTATAACACTGAGGAGAGGGCAATGCATTTCCAACTGTTCCCACAATGTAACACCCTACCACAGAGCACAGGCACCGTCCACTGAAGACAACAGACTGACTACAGAGGACAGGGGAACATCCTTTGTTCCCTTCATGAACATAAAAATGTAGGATACACGAAGTGCACCCCCCCATCGACGAAAGAAAGACAGGTGGTTACGAGCGAGTTCTTGCACGCGTTCTGCATGTACACAAAAAACCACACAAGCCGGCATAAATTAGCTATGCGTACTCAGTGTGCTCTGCATCAAACACGCATATACTTGCACACCTACGCAGTGAGTACCAAAAAAAAAAAAAAAGCCCTCTTTTGTTCCACTCGGAGTGGATTTATGCGGGCACTGAATACTGGGCACCAATGGGTTGTCTGTCATCCCGGTGTCTCTATGTGTTGATGGAGCATGATATTATTCTTTCCTGAACAAAAAAATCATCCATGGAAAGCTCACTGGTTTTCAAGTTTGCCCTTACATTTTCAATGTTACAAGGTTTGAGGACATGGTTTGGCAGTTCTTTCATTAGACTTACAAGAGGACTAGGTCCGATTCAAATGCTGAAGAACATATTATATATATGCCCAGTCAGTTTGTTTGAAATACAGCATGCAACGTTCATTTACTCAAAGAGCAGAGAATCGACCTTTGCACACTTTCAGCAATTTGCTGCGAAACATGCACATATACTTTGTATAGATTCTATGAGTCACCTGCACACAATGGCAGCAAACTGATTGACGAACGGCTGAAACATCTGGTTAAAATGTCATTTCTGCATTTTGTGAATGGGTGGGGTAGCAAGAAAGTAAACAGTGCCGATTGTTATCACAGAACAGCGGCACAGCATTTATGGTTTGAAAATCTATTTCCATGCACGTCACAGCAAAAAGCCTTTTGCGAGTGACCTTTGAATTAAATCTGGTACTCTGAGTTCTTTTAATTCACGGGGAACATAACAATTTAAATTCTCCATACTAAAAACAATGTTGCTATACCTCATGATTCGGGGCAAGCTTTTGCTTAGTTACATAAGAGATGCCCTGCAACAATACACTATTCCCCAATGGATAGGAAGGGCACAAAGGAACCAGTCCATTCCAGAGATGGTGGTCGCTATGCAAAAGCTTGCCCCAAACCACGAGGTATAGCAACAGCGTCTTTAGCCTGTGGAATTAAAATTGTTACGTTTGT